AAATTCTTGACATGCTATTAATTTCTATAAAATAGTTTTTCGCGAACCTCTCTAAAACTTATTAACAAACACCCCCCATAAAGTAATAACCATATGAAAGCTTAGAGTATTTTACACCTCTTCAGTCACTATCAGGTCTTTTAAAACGATATTGAAAAATAATCTGAGCCTTGAAGTGAAAAAGTGACACCATTTTGAATAGCCGTAGATTTATATAGATAAGACCTTTCGATATGAAAGAGTATTCATTAGAAAGCTTTCTCGTGTATCCCAATCTCCTTTGTTTTTGCTGAATACATCGGTATTTAATGTAATAATTTCATATTACTCTAACAACGAAGTTGGAGTTTATTATAAAAATAACGAGATATTTTAAAAAACCTTCATGTGACACGAATTAGAAATTTTTTATTTAATATAGAAAATAATTTGAAAGGACATGTCACACGACTGGTAGCATTTATTTGCCAACTACAAAAACCTCCGATTCGTTCGTTTTTAATATTAATATAAAAAATTTGCGTGTAACATACAAAATTTGGGGCTAACATAGTAAACATGTGTAACTTTTAAAGCCCATGATACCAACAAAGTGAAATTGTAACTTTGTAGAGAAAGGTCTTAGCTTCGAAACTACAATTTGTTTTTTGGTCCTATTGAAGGATCTGCAAGACCAATAAAACTTGTAAGAACTATATAAAAAATAATCAAATTTGATCTCGATATATGACAAGTGGAGAGAAGATGCGTTGTCATCATATTTTTTGTATCTATCTAGAGCCATTTGATGTGAAACTACAATCAACACTAATAATTACCATTATCATTGTCACTTTATTGGAATTTTCCAGTTGAAGGAGATTTGTAAATTAATAGTCTACTGGTATAAACAGAATTCGAATGAATTGTTTGTTGTAGTGATTGTTGAAGGGATCGTATTTTATTTCGTCCATTTCATCAAATTCTTATTAATTGATTGATTTGTTTATATATATAAACTAGGAAAACTAGGATCAGTTGTAAATTTTTTTATCAATAAAATCCAATAATTTCTTCAGAAATGAATTCAATCTAAAATGTTGGTGCATTGTTTGATAAACCAGGTCTTCCTCCTTCACATATTTTCATTGCAAGGTTTAAGTCATGTGCAATATTAGCGAAAAGGTGTGGTTTTGTTGAGATTACTGAGATCAACGTTCCAAAACTGGATATGTCTGATGCCATTGTAAAGTACCTATCGTTTAACACTTTGGGAACTAAATATGCAATTATTCCAACAATATCATTTTTAATTGATGATAATAATTATATTGGAGAATATTGCCACTGTGAAAATCACGGCGAATGATTTTTGCTAATTAATTTGCTTTAGATCATTAATTTTATCCTGCCATTTTAATTGTTGAAGACTTCCATCCATAGTTTATATATCTCATTGCAAATATATGTTATTTTGAAATTGAGTCTTGTGTTAATCCATAAATTTAATAATCTCACAGGTTTGATGAATTTCAATAATAATAATTAATAACATTGTTTAAAACAAAAAAAGAAATAAAGCTTTATCACGATTAAAGATTTATCCGACTTTTTTTTAATGTAATAGTAACACTTTTATCTTTACAATCAATACCTTCCATTTAATCAATAATTTTTAGAGAAAATGATTTCATAATTTATATTTTTATTGTGTTACAAACTTTAATTCAATTTTTTATTTTATAAAATTTTTTTTTTAAATAATAACCAAAATGCAAGTAGCTCACGATCTCTCTGAATTTCAAGACGGACAGGAACGTATTCTAGTTCTTAAAGACTCCAGTATTCTTGAAAACGAAGGTACTGATGAAAATCTATTAGATCTTTATACATACATATTAAAACATTAAATAATCTAATTTTTTTCTTGTTAGAGGAGGGTGATCAACTGATCTCAGTACAAATCGAAGAAGAACTAAGATTAAAAAAAAATATAGAAAATAAAAAGAAAAAACCAATTTATACCGGTTATGATGACGAAGAGTTTAATTTCGGTGCAAGTTTTCAAAAAAATAAACTTTTACCACAGTACGATGAAGTAATTGAGGGTGAAAAGCAAGCTGTATGTGATAGATTTGTTGAATTCTCTAATATATATTTATATATATATATATATATATATAAAGCAAATAAGCGCAAAAGATATTATTTTAAAGTTAATAAATCTTTTAATCAAATATACGTTTAAAAATATTTTTTAATAGGGGTTTGTTATAGATAATGATGGAATGGTTAATATTAGCGAAGAGCAACGAAGAAGTGAAGTATCAGAAAAATTAAAATTAAAACCAATATCTTTAGACTATGATAGTATGTATTCACACTCACACACACATATATATTAAATTATTAAAATATTTTAAATAAGAATGTGTTAATTAATTAACATACTTTCTTTTATTTTTTTAAAAAGAAATGAAAGAGATTAAAGATTATTATACAAAAGAAGAAGCCGAAATAACTTTTAATAAACCAAAGGTATTTTTTCCTATACATATTTTATTTTATTTTAAATTTTTTTTGTTAATTTTAACACAAAAAAAAAATTTTTTATAGACTAAGAAGAAAAAAAAAGTTAGAAAGAAAGCTCATAATGAAGAAGATAATGATAATAGCAACAATAATAATAACGCACAAACTTCTACGATATCAAATGACGATAATTCTATGGAAATAAATTCATCAAACTCGGGAAATCATAATCGAAGGCAAGAGAATTTTGACGATGTAAGCTTTGTCGATGACGATGATCTGCAACAAGCCTTAGCTAGAGCGAGAAAAATGGCATCAAAAAAAGTTTCAAAGACCAGCGTAGAAGAAATAGTCAGAACTCGTAAGTATAGATATTTGATTATTTATAATTAAAATGTTTGATGAACTTTACAATCTTTACAATTAATTTCTATTGTCATTTAAACATCAAATCAGCCTAATTCTATGTTATGCTTATTTTAAATAGTGACACAATATAGAGAAACACTAAATGATGATATAAATGACGAGATACCTGGTAAAGGACTTGTGATTTCTGATACTTCGGAGTTTGTGAGGTCTCTCACCGTCACACAAGCTTTACCCAAACCTGTACCTGATGCTGAATCAATTACACCTGTTCCAAAAGTGACTGAACAAGTTAATGAAGAGGTAAAAGAAGAGGAGGAGGAGGGGCAGGAAGAAACAATGCAAGATATTGAAATGCAAGATTCTGTTGAACAAGATAAAAACCATGGTTGGAAAGTTGCAGCTGATGCTGGTGGTCACGATATGCCAAAAATCCAAGAGGAAATTCAACTGGTAATTTGACTTTTTTTTTTTTCCTAAACTTTTAAAAAATTTGAATTTTAAATATTCTAATATGATAATTGGTAAATTTAAAAAATAGACTGGTATAGTCGAGGAAGAACCATTAGTAAGTAGTGGTATGGCAGCAACATTAGCTCTTTTACAACAAAAAGGTAAAAATCAAAGAATTTTTATGGCTGTTAATTTAATCCTATAAAAAAGTTACACATATATGATTGATCGATCGATCGATTGATTCTTATTAACTAATCTAATAATTGTCATTAAATATAAGGTTTGTCTATTAAGCCTTCACTAGAACTACTTGAAAAAGAGAGAATACAAAAAGAAAGACAAAAATGGCTTGCTGAACAAAAAAAGAAAGATCTTGAAAGACAGACCGAACGTGAACGTGAAAAACAGAAGTCCAAAGAAAAAGGACATCGGGGCGGCGGTGGTAGGGATACTGAGAGTAGTTATCGTGATAGAGAACACTTGAGAGAAGTAGAAACAAGATTTAAGGATTATAAGCCAGATATCAATTTAGAATATGTTGACGAGTTTGGTAATCAACTGACACAAAAAGAGGTTTGCTTTAATTTCCTTTTTAGAATGAAATAATCTATAGATTATATTACATGAATACGAATTATCATAGAAAAAATAATAAAATAATAAATTAAATTATTTTTTTTTTGACGTTAGGCATTCCGACAATTATCTCATAAGTTCCATGGTAAAACATCCGGAAAAGCCAAAACAGAAAAACGTCTCAAAAAACTCGAGGAAGAAAGAAAATTAAAAGCTATGAGCAGTATAGATACCCCATTAAATATGGCAACTGCATTACAAGAACGACAAAAAGCAAGCGGAAGCGCACATGTTGTTTTATCAGTTGGCAATCGAGCGTAAGTGTAATAATAATAATAATAATAATGGGCGTTTAATATTACATACAGTTGTTTTGCATGCATTAGTTTATAACAAAGTTAACATCATAACTATATAGTGTCGCACCTCCAAGCATGTTATCAAAAAACGAAAGAACTGGAAGTTCTTCTAAATCAAATGGAACATCATCAACCATTGCTAGACCTAGTATAATCACAGTGAATGGTGGATTAACTGGTCAGAGTATGAATGCTCCTGAAAGAGAAAAGGTAAAAAACCACACACGCATATATTAAAATATCTTTTTTCTTTATTGATAGATTGAGTAAATATCATCTTATTAACAACAATGATATTTCTTAGGTAACATTTGGATTAAAACGTAAAGCTGATGCGGAACCAGAGAAACCAACAAAAAAAACCAAGGAGCAATAATAATATTTTTTAAATAGACATTAAAAACGAACTTAAAACGAACTTAAAACGTGGAACATAACATTAATATTTTTGTATTTAATTTTATGCTAATTGTAAAAAATTTACTCGATCAAAATCTTTAATTAAAAAAAGAATGGTTTAATTTGATTTAAACGTCTATTTACTCATTTATCTCTCACTATAGTATCTTACATCTGCTGCTGCTTATAAATAACCTGAGACTAATTATTATGACTTTGAATTCAAACAATAATTGAATATACAGTGTGTAACAAAAAAGTTTGGAATTTTTTATTCATTCATCCTTCAAAAACTATCATATAAAAACGAATGAAAAATATATCAAAATAATGCTTAAAATCTAAAGTTTTTATTAATGTAAAAATTAATAATTAATTCTTTCGCCATTATTTTCAATTATCATCTCACATCTTCTTCTCATTGAACTAACAAGATTAATTATAATATTATTCGGAATTCTATCCCATTCTTCTATCATATACTGCTCTAATTCTGGGAGATTTTTAGGCATGCGCATTTCTACATTTCTT